CCCAACCAACAGCCATCAACTGCACCCCCACATCTCCATCACCTGAGTTTTAATTACAGTACTATAATGTAGTTTCTTGGTTTTAAAGTCTTTCACATATGTACTTATTACAGACATCGCAGCGATTTTCTTCAGTTGACGAAGAAGCAAAGCTTCATAAGACTATGTCTCAAGGAGAGATTACGAAGTTGGCAGTGAGACAGAAGGCTTCAGATTCGGATATAAGGTATAAAGTGTACACTGAGTGTTAGTAGGGGTAATGTAATTTTATTTCTTAATTCTCTAGAGTTAAATACTGAACCTCTTTTTAAAAACAATTTGTAGAGCAGCTGGTTTTGAAATTTGTAACTGTTTTCAACAAATATTAAGTACCTACTCGTGACAGGCACATAATAGTTCAGATATCTAAAATGAGCTTTGTCTTTCTATTGGGTCATCGGGAAAGTCATGACATATTTTTCTATGTTTTTCAGTGTAAAAATGCATCATGACTTTCCCGACAACCCAATATATGTTTAGTTTAATATATGATTTGGGCAAAGTCTTTTAAATCATTATATGACTAGTGATTTTTTGTTGTCAAAGAAAAGAGATTAGACCAGGTAAGATTCAAAAAATTTTCCAACTTTGGACTTGGATTCTATTCTGAGTTAAGTATCCTACAAATTGAACTGAAAACGACTTTTAGGAAATAACTGTGTTCTCTTTAATAGAGTATATGGAATTTTTATTTGTCCCTTGTTGTGTTATATAAGTCAGTTGGGCTCTCACTGAACACTTGAAGATCACATTGAAATCTATCTGGTCCAATAACCCTATTAAAGACGACTTCCTTGGATTGTGACTATAGAGGCATAACCCAAAGTAGCCCAAACCCAGAGCAGATTATCCTGGAGATCAAATTTTGGCAAACAATATATAACATAGAAAGAACATACAGCTGCAGATAAATACATAAGTTTAATTTTCACTTGCTCTTCCAACATTGCCAAAATGACCAAACCTAATACAGGACAAAAATCAAAAACAAAACAATAGGAGACAACAATAACAAAACTGTGGAATCCAAAAAGTAAATAGACAAATTTTAAATGTCTTGATAGGAGAAAGCTGACTCCTAAACCAACTAAGTAAAGCTGAGAAAGAAGCATCAGGTTGACTGAACTTTCCCAATCCTAGCAGAAAGCACATTTATTCCCTGGAAAGGACAAAACAGAAGATCCTTACACTGGGAAGTTACTAGACAAAGTTGAGGACTGGGGTACATACCTGGCCCGGGATTTAGTGAATGGTTATATAACTGAATGTTAAGATCGCCCAGCTTTGTTCCTTGACTCAGCTTTCACATTTTACATACCCTGTAAGCAGGTGGTTCAAAGAGTCTTTGTCCCACCCTGTAGGAAAGACCTAGAGGCTCTCCCTATAAAACAGACCAGCCAGATAACCCTACAAGGAAGACCACAGTTTGGAAGGTCCGCCAGTACACACTAGAGCTTTCAAACAGCTTTTTTTCTAAATCCTATTTTTGATTGACACACATTTGAGGAAGCATCTTATATGAAACTAAAACTAATGGATAAAATACAACTTAGAAGAAATAAACTATATAGGGGAAAGAAAACTTCAAGAGAGACAAGTACAACTATCAGTAGACCTTCTGCATAAGTAAACTATGTCCATGAAACCAGAAACATTCATAATAAAAAGAGCTTTTGAAAATCAAAATTATGATAGCATAAAGAACCATCTCAGATGAGCTGCAAAGAAAGTTGAGGACATATCTCAAAAAACCGAGCAAATAGAGATGGAAGAGACAAGAAAAGATAAAATTAGAGGAGTAATTCAGGAGATCCGGTGACCTACTGATAGTAGCTCTGGAAAGACAGGACAAAAAAAAAAAAAAAAGGGGGGGAGCAAATCATAATAAAGTAATTCAAATAAATTTTATAGAACTAAAGGATATGAGTTTCTAGATTGAAAGGGCCTACTGAGTGCCCAACATAATGGATGAAAATAGAGCCATACCAAAAGACATGTCATTATAAAATGATAGTAACAAAAGGAATCTCCATTATGATGACGAAAGTAGCTTTTCAAATGATAGTTGCACAGCAAGCACTGAGGGAAACCACACCAGACTGGAGTAGGTAGAAGACTCTGGGAGAGATTTCAAGAACGTGAAACTGATAGAGAGTACCTGCTATGTTTGAACATGTTGAAAGGAGATATACACCAATGGGGAAACATTTGGAGGTGAATTGTATGTAGAAAAGTAAGCAAATGTAAAACAAAATGTTTATTAACTTGAGAAAAAAGTAGGTTATGCTTCAGTTATGAATATATTTACATAATGAAAATTAATAGTGAATATTACTAAAAGAATATACTATATGTTGATCCAACTATAATTATGATGTGGTTCTATTGGGGGCATGTCTGTGTTTGTGGAGGGGGTAGAACAGAAGTGGTAGAACATGCTTAATCATTATCTGTGGTCACAAATATAAGTAAATATTAAAATAGTTAAATCAATTCAAAAGGGCTTCTGTAGGGAGCAGAAAAGGAATGAGAATGAAAGAAGGATGCTGTTTTTGTAATAAGCCTTGTAGAAAATATCTCTTTACCCTATATGACATATAAGTTTAGTAATAAGCTTTGAAAAAGAGACCATGGGCTTCAAAACCAGATAGACTTCATTTAACTTCCAGTTCTATCAGCCTTCTGAGCCTCAGTTTACTCATGTGTAAAGATAATAGTACCTATTTATCATAGTACAGTTGATCCTTGAAATGTGTTTGAACTGTGTGGGTCCACTTATATGCAGATTTTTTGCAATAAAAAAATTCAGTACTATAAATGTATTTTCCTTATGAGTTTTTTAATAATGTTTTCTTTCCTCTAGCTTACTTTATTGTAAGCTATTGTAAGAATACAGTATATGATACATATAATATACAAAATATGTGTTAATTGACTGTTTATGTTATCTGTAAGGCTGCCTGTAACAGTAGGCTACTAGTTGTTAAGTTTTGGGGAGTCAGAAGTTATATGTGGATTTTCGACTATGCACGGTATTGGTGCCTGTAGCACCCATATTGTTTAAGGGTCAGCTGTAGTTGTGAAAATTAGGCATATCATATATAAGTTGTAATACTTGGCTTCTAGTAGGTGTTCAGATATGTTTGTTTTTATTGATGCAATGAACATACGAAGACACAAACAAATTAATGTGCAAATAAGCCTCCTAGTATGGGGTTAGGATATTTGACATAACACTCAATAAATGTGAGCTGTTGTTATTATCTCAAGGTGTTTCCTTGATTTATGTGATAGGCAAGAGTGTATAAGCACTAAGAATGAGACACTAGCATATAGCATGATTCTCAACTTTGTCACTCACAGGCTTTATGACCTTGGGAGAAAGCCTCCAGTTTTTCACCTGTAAAATGATTATAATAGTTTGAAAGTAAACTTGTTACAATTAAGCAAAGTAATCCTATACAAGCAATTAGCACTATGCCTGGAGCAAGAGAACTCAAATAAGTGGTGGCTTTTGTTAATAAACCTGATGATTTCATGAATATAAAACAGTAACAGTAAAATGCTTATCATATAATGTAAGTGGAAAGATTTAAATTGTTACCTGCATCATGATAACAATGATGTAAAAGTGGGCATGCTATGGATAAAGCCTGGAAGGAAATTACCAGAAAACTGTAACCTAATATGTTTTAGAGTGATGGGATATCAGTGATTTCTTTAAAAGTATTTTCTTTCTTGTTAAGTTGTCTATACACGAAATCCAAGCTGAAAGGAGGGCAAGATGAAGAGATACAGTTTAGGAATTAGAAAACCTGAGTTGGAATCCTAGTTCCACTGCTTTATAGCCATTTATTTTAGGGAATTATTTAATGTCTCTGTGTCTTCTTATTTCTATATTCAAGATGAAACTACTTACCTTTCAGATGATGTTTAAATGTAAAATTGAAATTTAATATGATTAAATTTATGTGTGAAGGTTAAATGAAGAAATGCACATGAAAGGCCTTTATAATATAGCTTAAAGTGATGTGCAAATATTATTACTGGGATGTGCTGATTTCCATTTTTACCCTTATTTTTTATTTTTTATTTTAAATAGGCCTCAGAGAGCTAGGATGAGATTCTGGGCCAAAGGGAAACAAGGGGAGAAGAAGACTACCAGAGTGAAACCTGCCACCCAGTCGGAGGCTTCGGCACTCTTTCCTGGTTCAGATACGATTCCAACTCATCCATTTCCAGATGGTAAAAATAGACAAAGGGTGGAGATTGTCTTCATAATTCCTGTTTACTCTTTCTGAAAGTTTGTTATTGCTAGTATTTGTAATGGCAGTCCTGTTGGCTAGATATCCTAGATAGGACCAGGATTGTTAAATCCTTCCTTAACTGAAAGATAATTATAAAATTACATTGTACCTATAATAGAAGTTCCAAGGAAATGTGGCACAAAACAGTGAAGCAACAACTACTTCAAGAATGGTTGTGAATCCTTGATTAGACTTAGTTTTCTAAAGTGTTAAAATTTGAAGAAAAAAAGAAAAGTGTTAAAATTTGACCATCATGCACTCACTTAACAAATACGTATTACTAATAAAAATTAATTAGATAACAGCAGCTAATATTTGAGTGTTTACTGCATACAAGGTACTGTACTAAGCATGTATGCATTAACTCATTAATCCTCACAATATTTTTGAGGCTGATATGATTATTATTCCCAATTTATAGTTGAGAAAACTGAGGCACACAGAAATTATCTTCTTATACAGCAATTGGCAATGCTGAAATTTGAATCCAGGCAGACTATCTAGCTCTAGAGTCAACGTTCTTAACCACCAAGCTATATACTAAGTACCTACCATATGTCAGTGCCTGGGATTTTATAGTGGTAGCTCTTATTTTAACTTTTGGGGCATCAGTCATAATACATTTGAAAGTACACAACAGTTAATTCATCCGCTGAGAAAACTGGCCTTTCAAAATGCTAGAATTGCAAACTCTCCAAGGATTCCAATAAGCCCACTATTAGATTACCCCGTTCTTCCCAAGCCCTTTGCTCAAGCATGTATGAGCGTTTTTAATTACTGTGTAAAGATGCCAGCTATCTTCAACAGGGGTATACATCAGAGGTGGGTATGCGGTAACCACTGTGTGAAATACCAGTGGGTGGGTGAAATATTGAATAATTCAGTATTGAATAAAATAGAAAGAGGTCCTAGGAAGAAAGTTATTAGCACTTAAATAAAGAGCAGACCTAATTACAGAAAGTAAACAAAACCTCTCTATCTAGGATAAGATAAAGAGACAAGGAGGAAAGATCATTAAGCTTCATATAGGAATGAATGAGCCAGAGGCACCTGTGTGTCAGGGAAAAATGGTAGAAATGTAGTTAGAGCCTTGTTTTTTGTGTCTATGGCTTTGTTCCTATCATTGGCAAACTGATCTGGATAAAACCAGTTATGAATTAAGTGATACTACAAGTTCAGTTTGGAAGATTTGGAGTGTCTTATCATTACCGTATTTCCCCATGTGTAAGACACACCCTTTGTAGATTTATTTTAGTTGCATTTCCCGCTTTTTTCCCGCTAGTTTTTGCGCTCATACAACCACTGTATAAGATGCATCCAGTTTTTAGACCCCAAATTTTTCAGAAAAGGGTGCGTCTTATACATGGGGAAATAATGGTACATTATGAAGAGAATCAGTTTCTTTTATCTGGTTTACATTAATCATTCTAAATTTTTCGTGTTTCACCGTTGTATTCTCCACTGCTAATTTCCAAGAAGGAAGTGTAATACTCTTTAGTTGAAGCATACTGTATTATTAGCAGATGTCATTGTGTGTTTGCTTCATAAGGATACGTGTATAAAGATTAAGATTATAACTTTTTATTTATCTCTGGGTAGAAATTTTATTAAGGTAGCCCTTGTTTTTAATGGTGAAATAGGATTATAGACAGTTTCTTTAGTAGCCATTATTTCTTATTATAAGAAAGATACTGACTTTGCTAAATGATGTAATTAGATACTTATATATCGAGGTTATATAATGGAAATAAAATCAGTTGATACCAATTTGAGTATACATGTATCCTGTATCTTTATAATTTTTATTCTGGTGCCATATCTGAGACTGGGTGTGTCTTGCTTCCTGCCTGAAGTGGAATTAAGCATTTAGTAGGAAGCTACTTTTTTTACCCCTTATCAGAATTATCTTTTAGGTGGGATGAGACTCTCCCACATGTGGGGGAAACAAACAGATATGTGAAATGAGAAGGGGCCACCATTTGCATCAAGCTCAGTATAGGGTTTTGGCAAATCCAGTGTAGTTCTAGATTGTAATGGACTGCATGGAATCCATTTTCTCTGGTGTCAACAATTGCAGAAAAATTCTGCTGTGCTTTCCAATTTTATGTACTAAGCCAGTTCATTCCAGGAATTCTCATGAGAAATTCAGACAGTTATTTGGGAGCTAATATATAAGAAAATCCTAAATACAAAAGAGTCCCAAGCAGAAGAGGCCAGTTGTTACCTGAGTCCCTAAACAGGTTGCCAGGCTAACACCAGGTATTATTACTGAAGCATTTATGGCTTTAGCCCCTAGTAAGGAAATTATGATGATAATGACTAAACTTCACTGGTTTGTTGGACTTTTATATAGCTGGATGTTCTTTCAAACAGATTGAGGAGTGAACAGAGTGAAGCTACGACTAGGTTAACAATCGGCATTTAACATTCTAGTATGATTGTGTGTCTTATTATATCTGGGCTTCAGTTCTACAAGACAGTACCATCCAGGGTTTTCAATATCAGACCATTTCCCACTGAAAAACGGTAATTCTTAAATATATTTTCTGTACAAATGTGCAGTCTGAATTTGTTGCTTAACTTTCTGACCTCAAACATTAATGTTACTTTGCTTTTCAGATAATTACCTGTGTTTCCTACAGTGACTTACTAAAGGAACTTAAAAGAGAAAGATGTAGAGATTTCAATATTTTCAATAAATTTATTTATTTTTTTCTTTTATTTCTTTTTTTTTTTTGGCTACTCTGTCTTGAATTGTAGAATCAGCGCATCTTCACCCAACACCTCCTTTGAGCCCAGAGCTGCCTGGCAGTTGCCAGAAGGAGTTCAAGGAGAACAAGGAGCCTTCCCCAAAGGCAAAGCGCAGGCGCAGTGTGAAGATCAGCAGCGTGGCCTTGGAGTCCGTTCACCAGCAGAATGATTCTGTTCAGATCATAGCAAGTGCCAGTGACTTAAAAAGCATGGATGAGTTTCTTCTGAAAAAGGTACACTTTGCATGCTGAGCCAGGCCCCAAAGCAGTTTGACTGTGAAATACTTGCATATGTCAGGATATGGCCCCTCGAGATCAAGGTGACATATGCTTCAGTAAGTTCGATGGAAAGTGCAAATGCATTAGTATGATATGCATTAGTCAGACTGGGCAGACAGGATTTATGGTTTTAGGCATTACTGTTGACTGGTTTTACTATAATTGTCACGTTATTCTCGTATATCCCATATGTGAAGGCGATGCTTATTGCACACTTGAAGTTGTTTTCCTGGTAGCAGAACTGTAGAATCATAAGTGTTAGAAGGTTCATTAGAAATCGCCTAGTAGCAATAAAACTTTGGCTGTCGTGCTTTTACCTGGGTCCCATAACCACGGTGGCTTGCACCATCAGGGCAGTCGTTGAAGAAACAATATGTGTCCACTGTTGCACTCACCTCTTTTCAGTTAGTTGATTGTGTACAAAAATTCTTTCTGTGGTCCCCAGATGAACGACCTAGATAATGAAGACAGCAAAAAAGACACACTAGTGGATGTAGTATTTAAAAAAGCCCTGAAAGAATTTCGGCAGAATATCTTCAGCTTTTATTCGTCTGCATTGGCGGTAAGTTGAACAGCGTTAGGATGTATTCAATAGTTCAACATATGAAAAATTTGTCAGTACTGTAGAAGATTATCGTGACAAGGGCTGGGGTTTCGAGGAGGGGTGGCAATGGGTCTCTGATCCTGGCGGGTGAATAACTTTTATTTACAACTGTCACAAAGAAGTCAATTTGAATATCTATACCCAGTTAATTGATTCGATTAGACCTGCAGCTGCTTCACTGAAACTCATTGTGATCAACCATGAGTTGTGCTTTCACACATACCTATGATCCCTGGGGTGGACTCAGCATTCTGAGACCACTGGATAAGGAAATTTTACCAAGATCATTCCCTCAGGTCTTAGCATTCCAGGACACTTCCTTATAATTTCAAAGGATCAGTGCGCAGAAGCATTCAAGTCGGTGGCTGCAAGGCCACAGAAGATAATACAAAGACCCTGTTCATCTAGAGCAGCGGTTCTCAACCTTCCTAATGCCGCGACCCCTTAATACAGTTCCTCATGTTGTGGTGACCCCCAACCATAAAATTATTTTCGTTGCTACTGTATAACTGTAATTTTGCTACTGTTATGAATTGTAATGTAAATATCTCTTTGTTTTCCGATGGTCTTAGGCGACCCCTGTGAAAGGGTCTTTTGACCCCCAAAGGGGTCACGACCCACAGGTTGAGAACCGCTGATCTAGAGATTTCTCTAGTTCCTTGTTTTTGTTTTAGGGATTGGAAAGGAAAAGCATACCGACTGACTAATGAAGATTAATGTCTTCCTTAACTTTACTTGAGTAGTTTTCTTTTCCCCCTTATGAGTATATTTTCATCTTCCTAAGATACTGAATTTAGGTATTCTGGGTATGATTCTATTTCAGCCAGTGGCTCCTACTGTTTTCACTTCTCATAATCGTTTAGCTCTATTCTAACGCTTATATGTATGGAATTATTATACAATTTTTTTTCCAGTGGAATTAAAGAAGTTTTGTTCACTGATTTCTACATATCAGTTGACATCACTTTCAAATTTATTTTGCACTGTCATGTATTGGTTGTGTTTTAGAAAATAATTTTTTTGTTTCTAAAGTATATAATAATGAATACTTTGATATATAAAATCTTTATTAGTATCTATGAATTGTCATATTCTATAAAATAATAATTTATATTTAATTGGATTTTCTTTGTTTGATCTATAATTCATTGTGAAAAAAGAAATAAGGAAAACTTTATTGTGTATCCCTTACTTTTTCATTCTCAGTATAAGATTTTTTGCCTTTTAAAAATAGGAACCATTCAGGTCCTCTTCCCATTTTTTTTTTCTCTGCCCATTTTTTAATTGGATTGTTTGTTTTTTTTGTTGTTGAGTTGTATGAGTTCGTTATATATTTTGGATATTAGCCCCTTATCAGAGGCGTTGTTTGCAAAAATCTTCTCTCATTCGGTTGATGGCCTCTTTATTTTGTTGATAGACATACAAATGGCCAATAGACATTTTAAAAAATGCTCAACATCACTAATCAACAGAGAAATGCAAATAAAAACCACAATGAGATACCACCTCACACTGGTTTGAATGCCTATCATCAACAAGACAAATAATAAGTGTTGGAGAGGCTGTGGAAAAAATGGAACCCTCCTACACTGTGGGTGGGAATGCAGGTTGGTGCAGCCGCTATGGAAGGCAGTGTGGAGGTTCCTCAAAAAATTTAAGACTAGAATTACCATATGACCCAGCAATCCCTCTCCTGGGTGTCTACCCAAAAAATCTGAAAGCATTTATCTGTAAAGATATATGTGCTCCGATGTTCATTGCAGCTGTATTTACGGTGGCCAAGACATGGAAACAACCCAAGTGTCCTTCCATAGGTGATTGGATAAAGATGATGTGGTACATATACAAAATGGAATACTATTCTGCCATAAGAAAAGCTGAAATAGTGCCATTTGTGACAACATCGATGGATCTTGAGATTATTATGCTGAGCAAAATAAGTCACACAGAAAAAGTCACGAACCCTATGATTTCACTGATATGTGGGATATAAAACTGAAAGCAATAAAGGAAAAAGACAAACAAATGAAGAAACAAAAACTCATGGACACAGACAATAGTTTAGTGGTTACCAGAGGGTAAGGAGGGAGGTGGGTGGTAGGTGATGGTGAATGGGATCAAATATATGGTTACAGAAGGAGAAGTGACTCTGGGTGGTAAACACACAATATGATCTATAGATGATGTATTACAGAGTTGTGCACAGAAACCTATGTAACTTTACTAATACTTGTCACCCTAATAAACTTTAATTAAAAAACAAAAGTAGAAACCATACAGTCTGAAAGACTTGAATTTTAAGACCATAATAAACTAGCAATCAGGGTATGGCAAATGACTAGTTTGGGTAGGGACAGTGTTGGCCTTATTTTTCTAATCCCGCCCAATTACTTTCGCTTTCTACCTGTATTTCCTAGATTAGGGGCTCAGGGTTATTAGATGCTCCAGTACACTTTGAATCACATAGGAAGAGCTAACATTACGAAGCAGAGCTTAATAATGGTTTTCTAACCTCAGATCAAAAAAGTTCAACTTCTAATTCTGAGGGGGTGAAAGACAAATAAATTCTAAATGTATATAACACTTTTTTGTTCACTTAAAGTCTTTCTTTTTCTATAAAGATTCCAGACCTCATTTCAATAAGTTAAAAGGAATCCAATGTAGATTCCTTAGCAGGTAATACGGTGTTATTCTAGCCATGCCACTCTTCTTTGGAAAAATAAAGAAGGTTACCTAATGCATCATCAAGCAAGGACTCAAGTAGTCACTTTTTTTTTCCTTTTTTAAAATTAAATTTATTTGGGTGATATTGTTTAATGAGATTATGTAAGCTTCAAGAATACAACATTATAATACATCATCTGTATATTGCATTGTGTGCTCATTACCCAGAGTCAAAATTCACCTTCCTTCTCCATGTATTTGACCCCCTTTACCTTCTTCAACCTTCCCCCACCCCCTTCCCCTCTAGTAATCACCATACTGTTGTCTGTGTAAATGAGGTTTTTTATTTATGTTTTTCTGTTTATTTGTTGTTTTCTGTTTTATATCCCACATATGGGTGAAATCATATGATTCTTGTCCTTTTCCACCTGACTTATTTTGCTTAGCATGATAATCTCAAGATCCACCCATGTTGTCGCAAATGGCAGTATTTCACCGTTTCTTATGGCAGAGTAGTATTCCATTGTGTTTTTTTTTTTAATTAAAATTTATTGGGGTGCCAATGGTTAGTAAAATTACATAGGTTTCAAGTGTTCAATTCTGTAATACGTCATTTATATATCACATTGTGTGTTCACCACCCAGAGTCAGCTTTCCTTCCATCATCATATATTTGATCTCCTTTACCCTCATCTACCAACTCCCCTCCCCCCTTACACTCTGGTAATCACTAGACTATTGTCTATGTCTATGAATTTTTGTTTCTTTGTTTGTCTTGTTCCTTTGTTGCTTTCAGTTTTATATCCCACATATCAGTGAAATCATATGGTTCTCGACTTTTTCTGTCTGACTTATTTCGCTTAGCATAATAATCTCAAGATCTATACATGTTGTCACAAATGGCACTATTTCAGCTTTTCTATGGCAGAGTAGTATTCCATTGTGTATATATACCACATCATCTTTATCCAGTCATCTGTTGAAGGACACTTGGGTTGTTTCCATGTCTTGGCCACTGTAAATACAGCTGCAATGAACATCGGAGCACATACCTCTTTACGGATAAATGTTTTCAGATTTTTTGGGTAGATACCCAGAAGAGGGATTGTTGGGTCTTATGGTAATTCTATTCTTAGTTTTTTTGAGGACCCTCCACTCTGCCTTCTATAGTGACTGTACCAACTTACATTCCCACCAGCAGTGTATGAGGGTTCCTTTCTCTCCACATCCTTTCCAACACTTGTTATTTCTTGTCTTGTTGATGATAGCCATTCTAACCAGTGTGAGGTGGTATCTCATTGTGGTTTTGATTTGCATTTTCCTTTATAGCTAGTGGAGTTGAGCATCTTATATCTGTTGGTCATTTATATGTCTTCTTGGGAAAAGTGTCTGTTCAGGTCCTCTGCCCATTTTTTAAATTGGATTGTTTTTTTGTTGTTGAGTTCTTTATATATTTTGGATATTAGCCCCTTATCAAAGCTAATGTTTGCAAATATCTTCTCCCTCAGTTGGTTGCCCCCTTGTTTTGTTGATGACTTCTTTTGCTGTGCAGAAGTTTTTAGTTTGATATAGTCCCATTCATTTATTTTTAATTTTACTTCCCTTGGCTTTGGGGTCAAATTCATAAAATCCTCTCTGAGACCAAGGTCCATAAGTTTAGTATCTGTGTTTTTCTCTATGTATTTAATTGTTTCAGGTTTTATATTTAGGTCTTTGATCCATTTTGAGTTAATTTTTGTGTGTGGTGTTAAATAGCAGCCTAGTTTCATTCTTTTGCATGTGGCTTTCTATTTACCCAGCACCATTTATTGAAGAGGCTTTCTTTTCTCCATTGTATGTTATGGCTTCTTTGTCGAAAATTAGTTGCCCATATACATGTGGGTTTATTTCTGGGCTCTCAAGTATGTTCTATTGGTCTTTGTATCTATTTTTCTGCCAATACCAAACTGTTTTGGTTGTTGTATCTTTGTAGTATAATTTGAAGTCAGGGAGTGTAATACCTCCAGCTTTGTTCTTTTTTCTTAGGATTGCTTTGGTTATTTGGGGCCTTTTGTGGTTCCATACAAATTTGATGATAGTTTTTGTTCTGTTCCTAAGAGAAATGTCATTAGGATGGGGAATGCATTAAATCTGTATATTGCTTTAGGTAATACAGCCATTTTAACTATATTGATTCTTCCAATCCATGAACACAGAATGTCTTTCCATTTTTTATGTCTTCTTCACTTTCTTTCAATAATATCTTGTAGTTTCAATGTATAGGTCCTTCATATCCTTCATTAAGTTTATTTCTT